AGGAAGGAACGACGTGGGACAGGACAAGGAGGGACGGGGCGAAGGGAGGAGGGTGGAGGAGGTGGAGGACTTAATAGAATGCGGAGCGTGATGAGTCGGAACGGGATGGAAGAGTCGACGCGGGGTGGAATAAAGCGAACAGGGAGAATGATACGGAGAAGAGAGGGACGAAGAGGCGGAATGGGACCGGACAAACAGGGATGGAAGAGGCGAGGAAAGGCCAGCTCTGCAGGATGGGACAGTCCTGGTCGCGGACGCGATGGAAATGAGACGAGGTTTTTGGTGGGTCAAGTAGGAAACTGGAGTACGAGGGAATGGCGGAGGAAGAGATCAAGCAGCAGCCGAATGGGAGCAGGTGAAAGAGCGCTCACATTTATGATGAAAAGCTACGTAAATGAGGAGAAGGAAGGGGCTGTTGGTGCGAGGAGGAACGCCGGAGAATGACGTTAATGAGCGAGGGAAAGCACAGTGTAAAATGTCGGAAGAGAATAAATGGTTAATAGTAGAAAGAATTGCAATAGATTATGATATGCGATAACACTAGCAATGCGAAAACTCAGCTGTGCATCTTTGATCCATTATGGGGGAACGAACAAAGATGTACGAGTGAATCACATGAAGGAATAAGCAATATGAAAAACACTTCACATTTTTCATTTTATTACACAAGAACAGTTGATCGCTTCACATTAAATTGAAATCATCTTTTTCAAAGGGAAAGACAGTTTAATCTCTCGTGGAAGTCCCAGGCATTTGGTCAGTTCGTCTCCGGTACAGTAGTTTATATATGGAATGTTTGTGTAATAAGTCTTGATATCGTGGAGACATTTGTGCATGTCGAATGAATATCTCTGCATGTCTTATTTATGTCTGATAAAATACAATGTGGTATATTTTGTTATAATTGTTTTTCTTCTATTCCAGATATCCCGTACAAACCAGTACCTCCTATTATTGAAGGTAAGTGATTTTAAGATATCATTTATTGACTGCAAATTTCTAAATGTTATTTGTTTGCACCTTCATTAAAAGTTATCTTGCTATAGAAACGCTTTGAACTATATTTGAGAAATGAATATCATTGCATTGTGTTAACATGAAAATAGTCGTTTAGCTGTCGAAATATCGCTTTCAATAGTTGCAGTTGAATAAAAACTATTTTGTTATTTTTTTCGTTTATATACATTCTATGACGCGATCCCACGAATTAATCTTGTAGTTGAATTGATCTTCTAGACCATCTGATCGTTCAAATTTCATCCCAGTGTATTTCACTACGTTGATTGTCCGTTTGTATCATTTACTTCATTTCCATCTGCGCCTGTAATTATTTATAGGCTTCATAAAATTCTTAAGTTTTTGGTTTGGACCTTCATAAATAAAACACTGGTACTCTTGCTGGAGAACCGCTTTCATTTATGTTTGAGAAATGAATATCATGGAGTATGTTAACATTAATATAGTAGTTTTAATATCTAAAAGGACGCTTTGAATAGTTGAAGTTGAAGAAAGGAAGAAAAACTATAACCGGCCTTGATAGGCGAGGTCGCTAAGGCTGAAGGGCAGTGGCTGCCTCTGCTCGAAGGGTCACGGGTTCGATTCCCGCCCCGGGCAAGGATGTTTGTGCGTGTTCGTGTTGTCCTTACTTGTTGTTCGTGCAGTTCCCCCTACAGTTAAAACAACCACAGTGGTGGCTATATGACCAAGTTGTTCAAAAGCAACCTTGAAAAATGAGTGAAAGAGTGAGTGAATAAAACGTATTTTGTACTTTTTTCGTTTACATGTATTATATGAGTCAAACCTATGAATTGATTTTCCTGGCTATCTGATTGTTGCAATTTAATGCCGATGTATTTGACTACGCCCATCGACTGTTTTTATCGTTTACGTCATTTCCAACTGCGCCTGTGAAACGCGCACTATTGCAGCGCTATCGTCGCGCCGATAAGCGCGGGCGGCGATATTGGCAACGGCACCCAGCAGCCCCGGCGGCTCCCCCACTGCCACCCAATTAAGGCCGCCAGCAAGAAAATGGCATTACTATAATACCGCCCTACCTCTCCTTCGCAAGTGCGCAGCTCCCCTGCACGCGTCTATTCGTTTCTGGCCGCCTTCTTTCAGTCTGTCCACTCGGAGGCGGCAGGTGGGCGGAGCGGCTGGTCGCGCCCCAGCGCAGCGGCGGCGCTCGGCCCAAAACATTAGCCCCGCTTCCCGCCAACTGCGTGTCGGGCGGCTGCCAACGGGGCGGGAAGGGGGGTGAGACAGTGGGGAAGGGGAACAAGCCTCTCGCTGCAGAGTGGGGCGCGCGCAGCGCGCGTGAACAGGCTTTGGAGGCAAATAGTGTGGGGGGAGGACGTGAGGAGTAAGTCGCAAAGGGTGAGAGTAGGCAGGCAACGGGAAGTGAGGTACCGATAAGAAGCGGACCGATGCTTCACTGTAAAGAGAAGGCGGTTGCGCGGGCTGATGGAGGGCGGGTGGTCCTGGCAGAAGTAGCGAGGGAGGGCTGGCGGGCAGACCAGGGGAGGAGATGTGGGGAAAGAGCGGGACAAGCCCTCCCACTTTGCAGAGCCGGGACGGCTGCCCGGGGGGAGGCAGTGTGGGGCGTGGGGGGTGAAAGATAGTCAGAGAGGAGGTGGAAGCTGAAGGCGTGGTGTTGCTGGAGGGGGTCTACATTCTCAAGTGTGAAATATGTAAGCGAGAGCCTGTATTTCACAGACGACGGAGACCAACTCCTTCTGCATGGCCATGAAAATTGCCCCCATCATTCGAACGAGCCAGCCCAGTCCGGCCGCCCCGTCCCGTTTTTTCCGGGGCCCCACCTCTCGCAACGCCCACCGCTCTCCACCCCCCCACGAATATCTTTATTTGTCTGCCTTTAATTGCTGTTCTTGCGAGAACTAAACTTACGCCGGGAAGCAGGCTTGAAAGTTCTCGATATTGATTTAGGATTGTTGAATAAACAAAACAAAAAAGTTAGAGTGTGGAAACGAAAATAAATAAATTGTCGTGTAATTGCAAGCTTGCAAAAGCCACATAAGAAAGTAAGATGAAAGTTCTCCCAAAAGACAAAGTGAAGAGATTAACGTTAATATTATGCATCGGGTTGCTCATTGTCAATATCATTGAAACATACACCTTAACCTTTACGTTCATATTTTGCGACAAAAGAAATCATAAAAACTGCATTGGCTTATTTTTTAACTTAAAACGAAATAATACGACGTTAAACTGGCCCTCCTCGTTACCTTGCGCAATGTGTGGTGTGGGTGTGATGAGGGAGAGTCGCCCTCCCGGACGCAGCGATTAATCACCCGCGCGCAAATAAGGTGGCTTCCGCCACCCGCCCTCTCCCCCACCAGGAAACTTGGGCACAGACGACAAACCCTCAGACACCCTCCTCATTGTTTGGAAGCTAGGCCACCACAGCCCAAGCGCTGGCCCTTCCGCTCTTCTATGATGGCACATGACAGGGGAAGGAATGGAAGTGCTTCTCTCAATGATACACTTTTTTTTACACCTTTAAAAATTTGCTCTCATTTTCGCATATTCGTTTGGTTACTATTCTTTGAAAACTGCGTAATTACGTGGTTAGCGAAGGACAACGCTTAGTTATTATGCGAAATGTATCTGTACTTTCCATAATTTCTTATGCTCTAAGTGAATAAAAGAGGGCGAAATCGCCACGATCATGTATGTTCATTTCATGTAAAAGAGGTATTGGTGTGTATTATATAAATAACGATGTCAAACTACTGAATATGCGTGTACACATACATGAATTGTACGGCATTTGACGATGTTAACGTGCGCACGAACGAGTGAACGTGAGGAAACAGAAGTGAATTTGCAAAAGGTGGAAGGGTGGAAGACGGAACGCTGGGGCACTCGCCCTGACAGCGGCCCGCGGGGCGCCATGCCCTGGCGATGGTCTCGTGGTGAGCCGCGCGGGCAGGGCGGCGGAGGCGGGAGGGGAGCGGGGGACACGCCCCGCAGGCGCGAACTAATTTGCGCGGGTGGACGGCCACCGCTTGACACCGCCTCCCCCACCTGGCCGCGCACCAATTCACTCAGCACCTCACTCCTCTCCCCCCCCCCGCCTCCATCCCAACCGTCTCCACCCCGTCCTCCATCCCTGCCTCTCACGCCCCCCACTTCAATCCTTCTCTGCTCCGTCCCACCCACCCATTCTGCTCTGCTCTGACCCCGTCCATACCCCGTCACTCTCCGCTCACCCTGCCCCGCAATCCACACCATACGCTCCCTCAACTATCGCCGTCCACACCCCTACCACCCCTCCTCTTCATCACCCCCTCTCCCTACGTACCTTTGTCCCCTCCCACGTCAACACTCCACACTTCTAATCCTCTGTCGCGCTGTCCCAACCACCCATTACACTCTCCTTTCTCAGTACCGAATCTCTTCATTAGACTCCCTACCATGCCACTCAGTCACTTTCACATTCTCCTATTGCCCTGTCCAACCCCTTATCTCTGCTCCTGCTTTTCTCCTACTCCGCTCCCTCCACTTCAGTCCCACTCCACACCATACTTCCACCACTCCGACATCACTATCAACCCAATCCCTCCATTCCACGTCATACCACCCTCTCATATCCCACACGCCTCTTCCACACCTCACATCCCTTAATCCTCGACCACTCCACTCGTCACATTCTTTCTTCTATATACCATGCCCCTTTCAATCTTACTCTCCCCCCTTCCACTTCGTACTTCCCCTTCCCATTCCTAACACGCCACTCATCGTCCTCTCTCCACCTTACTCCAACACCCTGCTCTGCCCCGATCTAACCCATAACGCCACGAGCACATCTTTGCACACCTCATCAGTACCACCCTCTACTCATCCGACTGTTACGGCTACCACCCCATTTGTCCCCCCGCCTGTATCCTGCCTCCACCCCGCCTCCCACTCTCTTGGCACTCGCCACACCTACGTCACCGACCCGACCGTTCTCCTTCGGTGGCCGTGCTCCACCCTGACTGCGAGGGGGCGGTGGGAGTAGGCGGATCTCTCCTGCCCCATGTCTCTCCCGCCCGTCGGTCGCCCTTTGCCACGCCTGCGCTCTCGCGGCTTACGCCTCTCTCTGGCGAATCAATTAATGCGATTATTTATTTACGCTGATCCGATTATTCGGCGGCCGGCGCCCGCCGGGGAAAGCGTCGGATGCGGTTGCCAGCGCCGTTTCTTTGCCAGGCTGCGGCCGCGCGCTCCGTCAAATGGAAAAGTGCGCCCGAAGCGCGTCCCTGAAAACTCGCGGGGTAATCGTCTTGAAGATAACACAGGCTTCCAAAAAATGTCGTCAGATCCGAAGACTTGACACGTTTTGCTATGTATGTCGACGCTTTGAATTCGAAACTGAAGCCTGAATTGCGACACTACCCTCTAGTTTTTTTAAATCGGAGAAAACCACCGTGAAATTTACAACCTACAATATCACGGTGGTTTTTTGAGATTTCAGAAATGGAATTTGGTGGCGCAATTCCAGCACCAATTTCGAATTCTATGCGTCGAAATACATACAGAACAAGTGGCATGTCTTTGGGTTTGACAACAATCCCCAAAAACAAAAAGTACAGTGTCACGATAGTTTTTTGCGATAAAAAATGGACGGTGATGGCGCAATTCTGGCTTCAGATTCGGATTAAGCGAGTTGAAATACACAGAGAAACATGTGTCAAGTCTTCGAGTATAACAATTTCTTTTTGGTGCTTGTGTAATCTTTGTAAAGTGTAAAGTTGGGTGGAAGAGAATTATCAAGAAAACAATAGAAAATTTATAATTCTAATAAAATTATACATAAATACTTCCGGCGGTAGCATTTTTTAACACAATTACCAAACCTCCACAAAAAACTGAGAATTTCTTGTACAGTTAATACTTATTATTATTATTATTGTTATTATTAGTATTATTATCAATGAATTTTAAAGTAAAAATAT